TCAGCACTGAAAATAATTTGATATATATGCGATACGACATAATCAGACCTCGTGAAAGAGAGAAGAGAGAGAGAGAGAGAATATTTATTACAAAACATATCGTTACTTTGGAGATTTAGTTTTTCGATAAAAAAAAAAAGAATGAAAAGTTAAGATAATGCTATTCATATGCGTACGATTTTTCGTGATTAAATCCAAAAAAACATTAAGATTATTGTTACATCTACATCTGAGAATAGGTATGGTGACCAAGTCACTAAATAATAATTTTTTTAATCGAATATTACGATCAGTTTTTAAACATAGTTACGAACAAATCGAATAGTTATATGTGCGCTCTTTGTACAAATTTCTCGTAACGTGATCATATCAATGTAACTTAGATTTACTTATAACATATACGTACGTTAAACAGCTATACTGGACGCGCAATGTTAAGAAACAGCTCTTGTATGTTAAATAAACCGAGATTAAATAAAATTGTTGATATGTGATGTTGTAATAGGAAATTCGATGCAAAACACGAGGCTTTCGTTATCCTTCTTTTTTTGTCTTCTGCGAATACATTGAAATTATGTACATCGCCGTATCACTAATAAAAATAAATATAATACGGCTTTCTTATCAAATATATTTTATTTATTTATCCATTTCTCTAATTTATTTTATTTATTTATTTCTCTCTAGAATAATTACTGCATATAGTGTTCTGCATATTAAAGAAACAAGAAATTAAAATACAAATTATTAATGAGATAATATTGAAATCTTTAATATAATATTTGAGGTAAATATTTCTTTCTTCTTACTCTCGTTTTAAATATACTGTAGATGATTTTTAAATAAAAATTGTTTTTTTCTTTTTATTAAATAAATAAAATATGAGAAGGTATAAGCCTATTTAGCGATAAAAAATTTTTTTTTCAAAAATTTTTATCGCAAGTATTGCTAGCGATATCTAGAAGTTATTCTTTGCTTTATTTTGCAGAAAAAGAATTTTTGCTTAGTTTTATTTTTGAGAGATTATGATTTTATCCACTGTAGATATAAATGTAGATATACTCATTAAAGATACCTACTATTTCGACTGTTAGTATATTCTTAATACTTTCTTTTTCACATTTCATTTTAACATAATTTAAAAAAATTTGAAACTTTTTAATATATTTCGATATATTTCATATGTAATATCTTGTTTTAATATGATAGATTGAACAATTATAAAAAAAATATAAGGGAATGCAATTTAAAAAAGAATTTCAGATTTGGAACAAAAAATTTGAGGTTTAAAGAAAATGCACAATGTTTGGAGGAATATGTATTTTACATAAAGCATCTATATAATATATATGTGTCGATATATGCAAATTGATAATGATATAGCTTTGTGTGCATTTCTTACAAAATAAAGGGGAAAAAGCGGCGCTCGATTTACATGTATGTATTTACGTATGTGTGTGTCTAAATAAGTGTATGAACGCAGGTTTATTTATTAAAAATCAGTAATCCATAATACATTGTTATTCTTTAGCAATATATACATTACATACATAATCCATATAATATCTATATACAGTTATCGAAAAAGAAAAGTAGGCAGCACAATTTTTCTCAATTGCGCGATTGCGCTTTTTCTCTTTCATTTTTTTTATGATTTACCATAATTCGATATAAGTTTCCTTAAAACAAATTTTACGATTTTATCGCAGTAATTTACAATAGCATGTAACACGTCTATGTTGTACATGACGCCGAAGATATCGTACAACTGACAAAATAAGCATCTTTCTTACATATATTATAGGTACCCAGAGAACATTATATAACTAAGATGTCTTTAAGACTTCATAATGTCTTAAAAACCTCTTAAATGTATCTTTAAGATATCTTTTAGACAAACGTGTCGTTTGAATTTTAGAGATGTACTCGAACTATTCGAATACTAACAATCGAATCTGATTCGATTCGATTCGATTTGATTTCTCGAAAAATCCTTGATTCGCACATCTCTATTGAATATTTTTTATTCACGCGTTCAACATTTTATAAAAAATGTGATATGAATTAAAACAAATCAAGAAAGTTGTTTCGGTAAAAGATTCGGCATTTGATTCGCGAAATCAAAAATTGATATTTCATGATAAGTTAAATAATAATAAGTTAAATGACAGTTTTTAACAAAAAAGTTATGTTCGCGATTGATACAAAAAGAAAATATATTTAGCAAGCTTAGCTTTGCTAAGATTCATTCACATATATCGATCTTGAAAAATAGTTAAATTCGCAGATACTAAAAAAAATCAAATGTTTATGTTTTTAAAGCACAGCTTTTTTATAATTATAAAATGTTTAAAAATAAAAAAAAATAAGAAATATTTTAATAAGAATAGTTTTTAATAAAACTAGAAATTTTTTACGGAACATTTCAAGAAAGAGTATGCGGGATAAAACCAGTTTCTTAGCACCTCTCACGTCTTTTACATTTATATACTTGTTTTTTCATTGGTCGAAATACGCTTGTTCCATGATATAGCAATCGATTGTACTCACAAATTTGCATAACGTGATCCTGTCTGTAGATTACGCGGTAATTTTCATTTGAGAAGACATATTTTGAATTGATATTAAAAGAGTAGAAGGCGACAACAGATTAATATAAATATTGATCTATATTTCATTTTACTGCTGTAATTTTATAATTACAATGTCATATATAGTTATTTATATTAATATTGTTATCAATAGTAATAACAATATTATAAAATTATTGATCGTTAATTGATATCAGTTAATAAATATTTCTCAAACTTCTTACATTTGATACATTTTCAATATAAATAATTTATCCTTTCTTTTTTTTGTCTTTTTTCGTCTATTTTAATAAACGTTAATAACTTACGTATAG